TGTATTTTCTTTCTCCTGTTTTTTTCTTTTAAACTAAACCTCAGCTCATCTAGGTTTTACTGATATTTATTTCTCTTGTGACAAACCAGCACAGGGTGACTTATTTGGGCCACACCCCAGTAGGGTTCAATGAACTCTGGGTTCCATAGTCCCATGTTAGGCAGCATATCTCCCACAATGAAGGCAAGTGTTTATGTGCTTCTGAAGAGTACAGATGAGCAATTACACTTTATATAATAAAATTTCCAAAGACTCATATCTTGCAAGACAGGAAGAAAGTGGCTCCTTTCCTAAGAGATGAAGAAGGGCCTTAGTGCACCATGGTATCCTGTGGCTACCCAGTCGCTGAGGCTCATCCTTTCTCCCAGTGTGGTCCTCACAGCATCTGCATCTGAAACACCTGCGGGCACCTAGTGCATTTGTAAAATCCTGGGCCTTACCCCACCCTGGTAAATCAGAATCTCCTGGCTTGGGGCCTGAGAATCTGTGTTTTCACCCGATTCTCCAATCAATGTTGAGGTCATCTAAGGTGCAGGTACTCCAAACTACCCCCTTTCAGCACAATTCAGCATCCTTGCTCCTCAAAGTGTGGCTGCCAGACCAGAAACCTCAGCATCAACCGGAAGCTTGTTAGAAAAGCTGAAGCTTGGCTTCATCCCAGACTTTCTGAGTCAGAATCATTTTAATAACCCCTCCCCCTGATTCAATATGCACATTAAAATGTGAAAATTACTGCTCTGGATATTGTTTCTTAAACTCATGTTATTTGTATATCATCTGTAATATATATTTTTAATCTGTAATATAGTATACTTAATTTATTTAATATTAAAAAAATAGATTTACTTTTTAACTTTTCCTTTAGCCTTGTCTTAAGCAAAACTAGTCATGGGATCATGAGTTTGAAGTTCTAGTTTACTTCTTTATAGCATATTAAAATACATGCGCCATGCCCTAGCTGGCTTGGCTCAGTAGATAGAGCGTCAGCCTGCGGACCGATGGGTCCCAGGTTCGATTCCGGCCAAGGGCACATGCCTGGGTTGCAGGCTCGATCCCCAATAGGGGCTGTGCAGGAGGCACACTCTCATTATTGATGTTTCTATCTCTCTCTCCTTCTCCCTTCCTCTCTGAAATCAATAAAGAAATATATTAAAAAAAATACACGCACCATTATTAAAATAAAAATGCTTGCCGGTTAACACACAGAGTCATCTCACTAACTACAGGTAGCCCAAGGCACTGTGGGTGAGGCTGACACTGAAGGCCGGAATACCTCGCACAGCACACAGAGAGTGCAGCCGGCCCCTCACCAGATAATAGAGGAGACAAGCCAGTGCCTCTGAATGGAGAGCTGTGTGGGCATCGTTAACACAGCTGTTTATGGCAGAACCAGGACCCAAATCACAAAGCATTTCTCTGACGGGTGCTTATTAGCGTTCCTACCCTTCAGCTGGAGAAAAGCTGTTTGTACCTTCTTCCATTTAAAAACCCTAATGTCACTAAACGACCTATCATCCGTGATTCCCTTCAGCTCAGTTAGGTAATTCCCTTGTTCTCCCTTCCATGGTGGGTGTCTGTCAGTTGGCAGCTGACCACACACATTTACAAACCCTCATACATACTGATAATTTCCCACCTACTCAATTTTCACCTTCCCAAAGTAGCATCCAGAATACTCACAACCCCAGATTCCCCTGCAGCAAGGTGGAGGCATGTGACTTGTGTTGGCCAATCAGATGTGCCAACCAAGAATGGGCTTGGAAGTAAGCAGTGTGAGGATGGCACTGTCCACCAGGAAATCTATGTTACGATAAGGCTTGTCAGTCTTCCAAATTGGCAGCAGCAGAATTTCTGGCATCTGGTCCTACATGTGATAGGTGCTGAGCTGTCGCTGCAGCAGGAGAGGCTCCCACCGATTTCTGGATTTCTCTAGGGCAGTGATGGCGAACCTTTTGAGCTCAGCGTGTCAGCATTTTAAAAAACCCTAACTTATCTCTGGTGCCATGTCACATATAGAAATTTTTTGATATTTGCAACCATAGTAAAACAAAGATTTATATTTTTGATATTTATTTTATATATTTAAATGCCATTTAACAAAGAAAAATCAACCAAAAAAATGAGTTTGCGTGTCACCTCTGACACGTGTGTCATAGGTTCGCCATCACTGCTTTAGGAGCTACCTGCTATCTTTAATTTTTTTTTTTTTTTTTTGGCTTGGACTAGTCCAAGTGGGTTCCAATTGGAATTAATAACCTTAACCAATACATCTTCTTAACAGCTGTGGTCTTCTACAGAGAGATTCCTAATGCAGGGTCAACCTTGGTTTCCTCCCCTGAACAGGGAGATGGTTATGACAGAAGTTGCCTGACAACTCTTTCAGCAATAAAGTTGAATGACATGATGAATCACAACTATTTTCAATGGGCTTTAATTAAAGCCTATATAATTTCTGTAGCCTCATTAGTCTTCATTATTAATTTTTCAAAAAAATTGAATTTTAAGCCCTAAAAATCTTACAATAATTATTTTGAGTTAGAAATTGCTGTGCCACTTAAATGCTTTGGATCTTCCAAGACCAGCACTTCACGGCATAAGTGATATTATTCATGCATGTAATTACTCATTTTGTAAGAATTCTTATTAAACAGTTCTGAAATACATGGTGACTATTCTATAATACATTGTTTACGCATAAGCTTCAAATTAAGTATTTAATATTAAAGACAGACTTGGTTTTCTTAATAATTGTAAATGTATCATTTATTTTAATTTTCAAGAAGAATGTGTCCAAAATAAAAAAAAAACCCAAGATTAATTCTCACCGCCAATTACATCTATTATTTTGTCATGCCTTTTTAAAATGTATTGAGAAAATATTATTTTTGTCTGTGTGTTATGAAAATTACTTGTGTAATAAAAGCTTCAAATGATCACAAATGCTATTATTTCCCCCAGCTTTTCCAAATTAGTCATAGGAATGATTTTTTTAAAAGTGGTAATGATACTGAGTTAAAGCCCTTTCAATCTGGATCAAAAGAAGAAATAAATAAGTATATTTTATAATATATATATTTATTTTTCTTCCAATCTGTGTAAGAGTTAAAGAGAAAGGAAGGAGTGAAGAATTAAACCCAGGGAGAACTAATATTCAGGAAACTGGTGAAGCAAAGTGAGCCAGGAAACCATGGTGAGATAGAGTAACAGGAGAGAGAAGGATGGAGTCGGGAAGAATGGTGTTTCAGAAGCCAAGGAAAGAATGTTAAGATTGCCATTAAATGGGAAAACATGTGGCTAAAATATCTCCACCTCCCAGCTCCCACCCTCCCCAGCTTCCTGAGGCAGAGCAGGCTTTGGGGGAGACATCTAGTTCTCTATAACCATTCCACTGCAGAATGATTAAATGATAATTTCCTGTGTGAAAATAAAAGATGGGAAAGGTACTGCTTCTTACGGCAAAGTCCAAGAAAAAACTGAGTGTGGTTTCCCACAATGTATAGACCTTCCAAGAGTTTAGGCACTAACAGTTTTGGAAACCACTTACAAATGATCTCACGGGCTTGCCATTTTGCCAATGAGGCTTCTCATTTTTAGAGGCATAACTTAAGTATCTATACTAATAAAAGGGTAATATGCTAATTAGACCGGAATCTTCCGGACGACCTTCCGGACATCCTTCCTGACAAAGCTGGACCCAGGCGAAGCAGCCCGCGATCCCAGGTGCCTGCAGCCAGCCAGAGGGAGGGAAGCCTGGGTCCCGGGTACGGGGGCCGAGGCAGAGTTGGTTAGGGGCAATCAGGCAGGCAGGCGAGCGGTTAGGAGCCAGTGGACCTGGATTGCAAGGGGGATGTCTGAATGCCGGTGTAGGCCCGATCCCTGAGGGCGACATCCCCTGAAGGGTCCCAGATTGGAGAGGGTGCAGGATGGGCTGAAGGAACCACCCCCCCATGAACCGGGCCTCTAGTAAGTTAAATAAAGGTCCTAATACCAGAAAAGACAACATGTCTGGAAAAATCATTTTTAGTTAGCCTGGTGTTCAACTCTGTGCCCAACCTCTTCTCATTTCTCAGCTGAGTTTTGGTTTTGGCACCTTTTAGGGGCTTGGAAAGCAGCTAGGGTTCTGGGAGGCAATAAAAATTAACTTCACCAAGCAAGTAACCTACATGAGAAAATCCGCAGACCTCCTTAGGAGAGCCACCAGGTTTAAAGGAAAAATGCTTATTTTAAAAGCTGTTTAGACAGACTTGAAATAGGTTAAGGTTTTTGATAACCTTGCAACATACTGGAAGAAGACAAGTCGAAATGGGCTGAACGTAACTATTTTATGTATTATTAACTACTAGCTAAAATTGCAGTTTCTTGTCTTGAAAGGACGTTTCAGTGATTTTTATAAATTGCAAAGCTTTGAAATGTTACATTGCCAAAAAATACTCAATCAGATTTTATGAGGCCCAGCACATCCAGGACCTGTGTGAACAGGAAACCTGGGCTCAGACTCTAACTCCATCTTACTGGCTCTGTGACCTTGTCAAGGTTACTTAACCTCTCTGAGCCCTGGTCTCCTCAGGTAAAAATGAATAATAATTATAAGGTTATGTGGGATTACATAAGATAATTATATAGCACACGTAGCAGAGAGCCTTGTGTGGTTAATGCTCAGAGTAAGACAATTTGAATTATTTTCTAAAGAAGTGGGAGGACTATATTTCTACTCATAGTATGCACAAAGTCCAATATTATTAGAGATATTTATGAAAATAATATACATTGTACACATTAAACAATGGCAGTAAAAATTACAATATAAATGGTTTTACTGGGTTTTAAATCAAATCATTAAGAAATTGCATCTCCCCCCGCCCCACCCCCAATGCACAAACGATACTTTTTGAAAACCTTTTGGTGATATATGGACACTGTAAGCCCCACCTACTAATGGTATACCCTAGCGTAAGGTCCCCTCGTGGTTTTATCAATAAAATTATTAGGAAATGACTGACCTTGGTGGCCGGGGCTCTTCCACCAGCATGGGTTCTGGAGGGCTGACTGCTCTCATGGCTTGTGGCTTTTTTCTTGAAAATAGAAAATATTTGTTTCAATGGGGGAAAACATCTTAACAATGTAGTCAAGTGCAAATTTTCATACCAACACAAATATCCTCTCAAGCAAAAATCAGACTATCACATACTAACAAAAAAATTACGTCTTGTAATTTTTTATACCTTTGCCTGAAGACTACATCAATATTGAAAAGCAAGAGTAAGTTGAGTAAATCCCAGCTGGTCAATATTCAGTGCTTTTGGAGAACAGGAAAATCCTCCCATAGGCCATTGCTGTCTCCACCACAGTGCGCTCCCAGAAACTCAGGAGCGGTGGCCTCCTCCCTACACTGCTAGCGAGAGAACACAGCACATCCACCCTCTATGCAGGTGACTTCGCGGAAGTAGCAAGGAGGAAATTCTACTTCTAAAAACTTATCGTCGGGAAATAATAGAGCAACGGCCTTTTTTCTTCCAAGACACTCATCACAGTAGTCTAACATCAAAAAATTGAAAACAATATAAGTAATAATGAATGCTTATTATGTACTTACCATGTGTCAGGTAATTATTCTATTAGAATAATGGAATTACATATTCCATTATAATAATATATTCTATTATTATCTGAGAGTATTATTGTAAGTGCTCTAAGCATGTAGTAACTTATTTCATCCTTACATTACTGGATATAATGCTGGGACTATTGTTACCCCATTTTATGGAAGAGGGGACTGAGGAATGGAATGGGTACAAAATGTGGCCATGGTCACAGCCAGTAAAAAGGAGGATGTCTGCTTCAGACCCTAGTTTCTTATCTCCTTATCCTGCCTCCTGCAATCGGGGGTTATGCTATGGACAGCTACAGGATGAACTATGCCATTATTAAAACTCATATTGAGAAGAACCTTTCATTAAATGAAAATACTCATATTTTATATAAAGAAATTCAGACTATAAAATAGCAGGTAGAGTATTATTCTGCAGTTCATATGGCTTATCTTCTGATTGTAGGGTTAAGACTGATTTTTAAAAATATTCTTCATTGTGCTTCTTTGTATTTTCTTATATAACTGTAACTATTCAACTGATAAAAGGACAATGAATGGGGGAGGAGGAGAAATGTAAAATACACAGTTACTTTCTGAACAAGGCCTTGATAGCTTATATTTCTCATTAACATGTATATTTCAAAGAAGCAAGCATATAAACTATAAAGTTTTATCATATAAAATGGTGAGATTAGGCTCCATCTATAAAATATGAATAATGGACTCTTTACACAGAATACAGGAGGGATGGTGATGCACTAATTAGCTAACACATAACATATTAAAGAGTTGTATGTCTATGCAGCAAAAAATACATAATTGAGAAAATTTTGGTTTAATTGTTTAACATTCAGTGAGACTAGTTAGCAAAATTTGCTTTGCTTCATATTTTTGAAAATGCCTGCCATGGAAGCTTGAGTAGAAGCCTCGTTTTCCTTCAGGGTAAACGGTGCCTTAGCAAGAAGAAAAGCCAAACCTTAGCTTCCTGTCCTCAAAGTATAATCTCTATGTGCCCAGTGGCTGACCATTCTTAGAGCTCAGGAAGATCGGTCACCAAAACGGTAAGGTGGACACATTTTATAAAATGGGTATCAAAAGGGCCTCAGAGGCACTTGCAGGAGTCCCAGGCTCCCAGGCACCACCTGTAAACTAAACAGTCTCTCCAAAGCACACACGCACTACCATCAACCAAGGGAAGAAAAATCCCAGGTAAACTGATGGAAATAACAGAGGCTGCTAAAAAGCTAGCAATGCAGGTGTGATATGGGGGATGGTGAAAGGAGGGGATGGCCTAAATTTTATCCATGTCACAAGGCTCTTTTAAAAATATAAAGTGTCCTAACAAACAGCTCTGATAAGCACTGTGTATACTCGGATTCACAGTAAGGGACCAGGCCTAAGAAATAAAGACGACCACAGCAATGGGGTTGCTCATCTTAACCTTGTTGCCCTTTCAACCTCCTCATTTTTCAGGGAGGAGACTTCGGCCCAGAGAGGTCACGCCATTGTCCGGTGCTCCCCAGCTGCCCCACACTCCAGCTATCGGTGTGTGGTCTCGGCTAAGGCCAAGGAAGGTCACATTCCGGTGCTGTGTTAACTAGCGCTCCCATTCATCACGTCCAAGCCCACATTCCAAACCCTGGCTCATCTGTAAACGAATTCCACTGCCACACACAAGAATTCAAAAACTTGCCTTTGTCTGAGTTATAGAACTATTAAGTTAAAAACAGTAATTATTTAGACACATGCTGATTTTTATTTTACCTGTACATCAAATCAAAGTGTACTCTTAAAATATTGATTTACTAATAAGTTCAAGGTCTTCTAACTCAAAAGATGATTCAAAAGTTGAGGACCTCTCAGCTTTCCTATGGGTATGGCCTGTCCCTCGAAGCTGGCCTTGTCCTCTGAGCCACCTGGACTACCTGGTCTACAAAGGACCAATTCAATCCAGCTGAAACAAGGGCAGAATTTGTAAAAACAAAATATCTTTCATTACATTTTTATCTAACAAATATTTATTAAGCCCTTAGTCAATGTCAAGCACTTAAAAGATAATAGAAAAGCTTAGAAATATATACAAATACCAAATCACAGATTCTTTATTCTCAGATTAGTAACCAACATTTAACTATAGATGGTTCGGCTGATATATAAGACTTGGTTCTCTTTCTCCAATTGTGTCTGACTTTACGCATTCATTCTTTCATTCATTTGCTCATTGGACAGACATTTATTGAACCTTGGTCCTATTTGAGGCAGTAGGGATGTAATGATCATTTAAACAGAAAAAAAGTCCTACTCTTACAGTGCTTACACTACAGTCAGAGGACTCTAAATAAGCCAACAAAAACCAAAATGATTTCAGTGAATAAAGACACTAAAACAGGGTAATGACACTAAAACAGGGTGACTGGCTGAGGGCTGCTTCCGACGGGATAGACAAAAGTGATGTTTGACTGAGACCTGACTGCAAATAAACCAATCATGTAAATATGGGGTGGGGAAGGGGAGGCATTCTAGGGGGACAGAGCAGCATGTACACAGGCCCTGATGGGAATGAGCTTGGCAAGTCTGAGGAAGAGAAAGAAGTTAGTGCAGGTGAAGCAAGGCGGGCATAGGCATGTGGTATGAGACAAAACAGGATGCTGGATCAAGATATTTGAACTGAAGTGACAGAGGCTTAGGATGGCCCCACAGTCAGGTGTGTTTGAGATCACCACTTTCTTCCAGCATTGGCCTGCTTCCTGATCTTTTCTGGGTGCCATCTAGCCCTCATGAGTCCTCCCTGGCCTCCAAGTGAAAAGTTCTCAAAGTCCTCTGGCTTCCAGTCACCTCCTGCTTAGTTTGGCAGGTGTCTTCCTCACCCTCACTCCCCCAGCTCCTCACCATCATCACTGGCCCTCAGACAGCCCACTCAGGCCTGGACACATCTCTCACACATCTCTCGGCTACTGCTGAGTCGAGTTCAACACCATATTCACTAACTAGTACTAGGACTGTATCTACCCTCAGATAAAACAGAACTAATTCATTTACTCACAGAAGGCTCAAATAAGCTCATTTATCTATGACTCTGCATTTGTCCTAACATACAAATTAACTCTAGTCTTTAAAAGATTAAGATGTTAAATGAGGATGTCAATACTATGATAACTCAAATTTTGAGTTAAGTTATTTTTCCATAAACCTATAGACTGAAGGCCATGGAGCAGCTTTTTCCTTGCCAACCAATCATTTTCCTTCTAATTTGTGTGCCCTTCTCTGTTTAAGTTTTATAGAAAGGAAATTATCAGGAGCAGCCTGCCCCTTATCCCTACATGTCAAATCGCAGGCCTGGCTGAGTCATGCCCTCCTAGCAGTTCATCATGTCACAGGGCCTCAGTCCTCCCGATTGACAGGGACAGAGGTGCCCTCCACGCCCTATTTGCCTCTACTGGACTCAAACTGCAGGACACCAAGTCTGGTCCAGTTACAGAGAGCATGAGTAATCCCTCCTGCTCAGGCACAGGCTCCTGAGTGTGCACGGGCCCCGATTCCATGCGCTATGCAACCACACCTGCTCCTGGAAGGCGCCTTCCCCACCCCCAAAAGTGGGGCAGAGTCTGACAGCCAAGAGACACACAAAGAAGCACCTCATGCTGGAGCAGAGACGTTCAATAAAGAATGTCCAGATTAGATCAATTCTATCTGCAGTTGCAGGAAGGCATGAAAAGAATTACTTGACTTTTTTTGTATTTGTTGTAGTGCATAATAAACATTTTTATTGAGTGACTCAGAACTCAAGTCTTAAAAGCTGTTTGCAAAGTCGCAATGAAGGACCAAGAGGCAGGAAGAGAGCTGCTCAATGACTATCTCGTAAAAAATCTCAGGAAAGGCCCTGGGCGTGAAGCTCCATGCCAGCTGAGATTTGGTGGCTCTGCAAAGAAAGGTGCCGCATCCTCTAGAATAATGGTTCTGTCTTTTGATGTATGTGGCAAGAATTCTGGCTCCACCAAGAGTCAGCTATGAAACCTTGGACAAGTTAATTTTCTCATCGGAAAAATGGAATAGCCCTACCCACACTTCCGAGGGAGACTGTGAGGATGAAAGGAGATGAGGGATGGCCTGAGGCCTGTTGCACAGGTTGGAAATCCCTCCTCTAAAGCAGTGGTTCTCAACCTTGGCTGCACATTAGCATCACCTGGGGATCTTTTTAAAATCCTGATTTCTGGGCCTCATCCTCCGGAAATTCTGTTTCTTTGTTATGGGGTGAGGCCACAATATTAGTAACAAAGAAACAGAATTTCCGGAGGATGAGGCCCAGAAATCAGGATTTTAAAAAGATCCCCAGGTGATGCTAATGTGCAGCCAAGGTTGAGAACCACTGCTCTAAAGGGACAGGCCCAAGGTCCTTGACATCAATCAAACACACTGATCTCCCCAGGGAACCACCCGTGGGCCTGAGAATCTCCCATGAGATTTTATTATTTATATCATCAA